ACAGTAATTAAAAATACCAGACTGGTGGAACTAACCTTCTTGGGTGTTTAACAGACATACTTTGAGATCTATAATAATTTGGTCAGAGGGACATAAAGGACACTTTTTGCTCCTTGCCCTTCTAGGTCGACTAGTTCCAGGGGACTATGGAACTAGTCTCAAAATGTCCTGTAATGGTGGTGGGTCACCAGTCCTCTTGATCAAGGAGGCCAAGGAGACCCCACCAGATGGACTTGAACCAGTGTCCAGTCTACAAAGAGGAGGGTCAACACAGAGGAATCACTTCCTCCATGCTTCCAAGCGAACTACATTTTCTTTATTCATTCACCTGTTGACAAACATCTAGATCGATTCCATCGCCTATCAATTGTACAAAGCAGCAACAAACTCAGATGTGCAAGTATCTCTGTGGCATATTGACTTAAGAGTCAAGGTCATATAATAGCTCTAGTTTTAGCTTTTTGAGAAGTCTTCACACTGATTTCCATAATGGTGGTACCAGTTTACACTCCCACCAGCAATGAGTAACAGTTCCCTTTCCTCCAGATCCTTGCCAGCATTTGTTCTCACTGGTCTTTTCTTTTTAAAATTAGCTTACAAAGTAACAGGCTTCCTTACAGCATTTTCATGCACATTTTATTTTGGCTGATTCTTGCCCACCACTCTACAACAAACCTTTTATAAATAATTATGGTTTATATAATTATACCGTATGTGCTAAACACATCAGATTTTTGTAACTACTTTCTGGAGCTTTATACTTCCATTCCTGTAGCGAGCTAAAATAGTAACATATGCTTCTGCAAAACAATTGCTTCCCCTGCACCTTCCGTTGTTAGGTCACCTTCAGTGACTTAAAGTTTATTTTGGGGCAGGGTGCTGGGAAAAGAACCCAGGGCCTCCATGTGCCCAGCCACTAACCCATATCTTCAGTCTCTATAAAGTTTTTTAAAAATACAAAAATGTCTTAAAATATACTTTTATTTCTGTCCAAATTTTAGTACTGCTAATAGTCAGTGCTGTGCCCTCTACTGAATTTTAAAATATATTTATACTTCATTTTAGCTACCCCTTCATATATTGTGCAAAATTATAGAACATACATCACTTTTACCAAAACTTGTACAGGAAATATATTTGAGCTGACACTTCAGTATAGTAAAATTTCCAAGTTTCTCTACCTGTACTTTAGTTACTACACATTTCCAACAGTGCTTGGAAGTCCAAGTTTCTCTACCTGTACTTTAGTTACTACACA